CCCCGCCTGCCCTCGCCACTTCCGCTGTGTGTGATCCCCCCCCACCCGCTGCCCCGCCTGCCCTCACCCCTTTCGCCGCCTGTGATGCCCCCCCCGAGACGACCACGTCTGCAGCCGTCCTCGAGCGTGGCGTGAGTGGTGTCCGTAAGCGAACGACGCGCTCTTGCGTGTCGGTGGGTGGAGTCATACGTGGCAGTGGCGCGCGATTTCCCCCGCCCTCTCTGGCTGCCGTCGCGGCGTCAACGTCGAGGACGTCTTCCGGTGCTGCCCGCCCTCCTGCGCATCGTCTGTCACCAGCGTCGTCTATGCGGAGGCCGCCACTCCCCCGCCTGGACGACTTCCGCTGCAACGGCATGTCGTCAGAGTCTTCGAAATCCGTCCCCTTCTGCGTCGCCACGTCCTCCGGCACCAAGTCTTCATCCACCACGTAACCTCCATGTGCCGAGGCGCCTTGGAGGATCTTCCTCTTCTCGTTGGCCATGCGGCGGCCCTTCTTCTCCCGGGTCGGCGGTTGTTGTGCCAGGTTGGCGGCGGCCTTGCCGCATGCGGAACCGCGTGAGGACATGGCGCAAAACACACCCACGACGAGCTTGTTCACCCGCTTCGCTTCGATGACGTGCACTGCGTTATCCAAGCCAACTGTCAATAGCGATGGCGGTGTTGGCGTCGTATTCGACGACGGCCGCGGTAACGATGACAATCTGGACGACGAAGGCGACGATACGATATTCGGAAACGCGACGATGGCGGTGAAGACAACGGGCGAAAAGATGTGCTCGTCGATGAGGATGTCGCCGAAGACGACTGCAAAGACGACGCAAGGAGTGAAGATAACTACGTTGGCGACGGACGAGGTGACGATGGCGCTGACGGCGGCGATGTTGAACAAAAAGCATCGATGGCGATGATGGCAATGAAGGCTCAGATGCAGGCTACGAAGGCGACTCGAGTGGCGAAGACGACTACGACTGCGGCAGAACAAGCGAGGCGGGCGGCGCGGACTGCGTGAGGTAGACAGAGAGAGTGCTCTCGTGCATTTGTGCAGAACGCCCGCGTCCTTATAAACACGTGTCACGGGGGGTGGACGGCAGCACAGACGCAGCGCGAAGGCCAGCCGAATGTCATTTCCAAGCTCCACGAAAAGAAACAAAAAGCGCAGGGTCATCGCGGCGGGCGAGACGAAAGGCGAAGGGTCGCGGGCAACGCGGCCGTGCATCCGTTGCACCACCGCCCTTTGTCTCGCCTCCCTTCGTCGATTGTGGACACGGAGGGAGCCCACAGGCCCAAATTCTACCCCGACAAAAGACTCCATCCCACTCCCCCATCGTCCACACTCCATGCCAGCCATGAACGACGACCGAACTCGC